GCACCGATGGTCCTGCAAGCCCAGTTCTAGGTTCTTCGTCGTGGGGCTGATTTTCCATCGTTCCCCTTCTCCCATCCTTCACCTGACCCTGGGGGAGGGCAGGGGGGAGAGGCCGTTTTTCTGGCAGCATGAGCTGCCTTCAGGGAAGTTCATCTCTGGAGGAGGCACGATCCTGCACGCCCAGCAGGTACCCCAGGACGGAGCTTTGCCCTGTTGCAACCACCAGCTGCCATCCCACCTTGGCGTGGTCTGACCGGCACGGAGGTTTTAATGCTGAGGGTATATTAATTCATAGGGCTGTATTGACAGAGACACTCATCTCTTGTCTCTGCCCCCACCCCGGGTATGGACCAAGCTGAGGTGCAGTGAGTTTGTGGGGCCTCAGCAGGGGCTGGGGGAGCTGGCGTGGAAGCACCACAGGAGCCATCGGGGGCTGCTCTCCATTGCCAGGGGCCTGATAGTGCTGAGCAGCAACACCAGCTACTACCTGAAACCCCTGGGGACCCCCGAGCCAGGCCACCACGTCATCCACCGAGCAGAACATTTGCCCATCCAAGGTGGGACCTGCGGCCACGGCGATGACTTCGGGAGCACCATTGCTGACATCGCTCGGCTCTTCCAGCCCGTGCACAACCGGGTAAATCCATCCCGGGGTCCATGGCTCACGGAGGGGCATTGGGTCGGGAGCGGGGCTGTCTGCACCCCTGCTAAATGCCTGCAGCTTGTGGCGGGGTGCCCATCGCCCTGGCATCTGGGCAGGGTTGCACAGGCAGATGGGACATGAGGGGTCTGCATGGGCAGCTTGCCTGGTTTGAGTTTGGGCAGGAGACCTCAAAGGGTTGGATACCAGTGCTGGGTCATACGGTGGGGGACATGATGTGAGGTGACATTGGGAACTGTACTGTAGCCACTCACGTTTTCCTTGTCGCCCCGTGCCTCAGTTTCCCCTCTCAGTTGTCCTTCTTGAGCAGCTCTGTGGTGTCGGTGAAGCCTGAGGTGCCCAGAGCCATGGGCTGCCCACTCCTTTGCTTCTCTGAGCCTTGCTGTCTGTCTTGCAGGCAAAGAGAGATGCCTGGAGGACCATGAAGTACATGGAGCTCTTCATCGTTGCTGATCACACACTGGTGAGCACCACAGGGGGCAGAAACCTGGTCCCCTGCCGAAAAGCCAGGACCCCTCTCTGTCTCCCTCCCTGCTCTTCCTCCGGTCACCCTTCCCCATCCCTGTCTCTCTGCAGTACAGGAACCAGAACCTCAACCTGGGCCACACCAAGCAGCGCATCGTGGAGATCGCAAACTACGTGGACAAGGTAATGGCTGGCAAGAGGGACCTGCTGGTCCCTTGTCACCACCCTCATCATTCCCGGTGCATGTGAAAGCAGCTGAGCTCGGGGCCAGCCTGGTGGTGGCCCTCAGGGACTGTCCCCATGTCACTGTGGCTAGGAGTTTAGATGGCAGATGTGAGCACATGGTGGAAAATGCGTTGCCACCCATCGGCTGAGATGCAGCCGTGAAGAAGGTGCTGGGTTTTCACCCCGCTGTGGCGCTGGGGATCAATGCTGGCATCCTCGACAAGAGCAGGGACGTGCTTAGGTGTTGTCAGCTGATGGATGGCATCGCGCCACCCTGACTGGCTCCTGTGCCTGTAGAGCTCATGCTTGCAGGTGGATGTGGGACAAGCGTGTCCCCAAGTCACCCAGCCGGAGGGAAAGCATGGAGACCCACCAGATGAAATGCCGTGGCAGGGATGGAGGATGTCCAGCGAATGCCAGTCCCTGTCCCCTCCATCCCTGTCCCCTCCCTGCAGTTTTACAGGTCACTGAATATCAAGGTGGCCCTGATCGGCCTGGAGGTGTGGACGGAGCGGGACCAGTGCACCGTCACCAGCGACGCCAACGCCACGCTCTGGTCCTTCCTGCAATGGAAGAAGGCGCTGAGGTCACGCAAGAAGCACGACAACGCCCAGCTGCTGACGTGAGCACCCCTGTGGATCTGGGGACGTTGGGGCAGGGGACTCCCAGCTTGGAGCGGGGTCTCCAGACCACCCCTGGGGTGCTAACTGCCCCTTCGTTTTTCTTTCGGGGCAGAGGGAAGACGTTCAGGGGGACAACCATCGGCATGGCCCCGCTGGAGGGGATGTGCAGCGCGGATAACTCCGGAGGCGTCAGCATGGTAAGAGGGGCACGGGGGTCCCTGCTTCTCCTCCCAGGCTGAAGGAGCTCATTGCCACCCCATCTTGCTGGGGTTCTTCACAGGCTTGGCGGGCCAGCTGTCCGGGGTTGGTCCTGGGATGCAGCCTGAGAGCGAACGATGATGCTGATAGCTCCTTACCCCTCTCAGATGTTGGCCGAGTACGAAGGAGGGTGCGAAAGGTCTCCCACCCCATGTACATCCCCAGCTTGCAGCTAGCAGCAGCGTTGGGATCTCCTGTATTGCTTCTGCCCCTCATATTGAGTAGTCCCTGCTTGTTCCCTGCTTGTGCTCTCTTGTTTTGTAGGGTTGTCGTTGCCCCAGATAACTCTTCTCCTGGGGCCCTGGTGACCTGAGGTCCCTAGGCAGGGTGGGAGTGTGGGACACTGAGGTGTCTGGTTTTTGGGATGCACCTTCCAAGACCCCAGGTTTTCAGCAGTTGGCTTCAGCAAAAATGCTTCCCACCAGTCCCATGTGGAACTTTTAGGAGACCAAACCCTGCTTCTGCCATAAATCCCCCTCCATCCCTCTCTCTGTCCCTCCCACGGGATCCAATTGCAATCCCAGGGATTTTGTGGTCCCTCCATCACCCCAGCCCCATTCCCTGCTGCGGGATCAGCCCTCTCCATCGCTCCTGGCTGCTGTGCTGATACATCCCCCATCCCTATGCAGGACCACTCGGAGCAGCCCGTCGGAGCGGCCGCCACTATGGCCCACGAAATCGGCCACAATTTCGGCATGAGCCACGACAGCACGGGCTGCTGCGTGGAGGCCACCCCGGAGCAAGGTGGCTGCGTCATGCCAGCGGCCACCGGGTAAGTGGCGGTGGGAACGGGGTGCGACCCCCTAAGCCCCCCAGCAGGTTGTGGATGCTGTTTGTGTCTGGGTGGGCTGGGTAGCGGGGAGGGGGGGGCGTGTCCTGCACCATTGTGGGTGCAAAGGGGGAGCTGGCTGGTTGCCCTCGTCCCCGTTTGCCCTGCACATCCCAGTTCCCAGGAGCAGGCAGGGCTGGTGGTCTCCGGGGGGGACAGCAGAGGGGTAGCAGCCCCATCCCGAAAGAGCTAAGGGTGGAAGCAAATGGATGTCACCTGCTAGACACATTAGGTGAGTCCAAGGCATTTTCCTGTGCTAACGCACACCTCAGCACGATGAAATTAATTTTTGTTGTAAGACCAGAGGTCCGAGGGGTGCCTGGTCCCTGGCCGTGCCGGCGGGGACTCACGGCATTGCGGGGCTGCAGTGGGGTGAGCTCGCATCCCGCACCCCAGCCCCGCTAAATCTGGATGCGGGATGCTCTGGAGTGGCAGTCACTAGCCTTTGTGCCCTCTGGCATCCCTCCGGGGTTTGTTTTCCTGTGCTTTTACCCTTTAATTCGGCCCAGAGCTGTACGAAATTCAGCCGGTTGGTGCTACTTTCCCTTCCAAAGTCCTTCTGCTGGGTTTTCCAGCTCCCGAGGATACAGTCATCCCAGATTTCCCTGCGCTGCAGAAAAGCAGCTGTTCGTTCCCTGTTATTTGAACCCACCAGCTCTTCCAATGAATAAATAACAGAAACCGTGACGCGGTGTCAGGGTGTCCCCAGGCTGTTTTCCCGTGGCTCTCAGGGCTGTCAGACCGTGGTGCTGACCCCATGGGGTTTAGTCTCTGGCTAGGTGGATTATGGTGGGGAAAAGCACCGGCTTTTCAGGACGAGGCAGTTGTGCACTTGTTTCTTTAGTTGTCCTACTAATTAATGATCCTTCCCCACCTACCAGAGCTGTATGCACTGGTGCAAAACAGTAGCAGGTGCTGTAGCTCAGCTGTGCCCCTGCTCACCCCCACAGGAAAAGCTCTCTGAGCTGACATCTCCCCGTGACATTTTTTCCTTCTTATTTTTGCTGAAATATTTTTTTTTCCCAAAATGGGCAGGAAACATATTTTTGGCTGTCTTCAGCCTGCCCCTATTTGCACGTTCACGTACCAGCTCATGGGTATGTTTATTTGCTCACCCTTCCATAACTTGCGTGGACTTACAGCTTTCCTGGCAGCTCAAGAGATTTCCCCCAGCCTTCAAAATTACTTTTAGAAAACAGCCCTCTGTGTCATCTCAGAAATGAGATGTTCTGATATGAAATAAAACTTCTTTTTCAGCAATAGGAGGAAATGAAACCAGCACTGAAGCGGAGAGCTGGGCACAGTCTCTCACTCTCTGCTTCCTCCTTCTTAATACATCACGCAAAAAACCCCAAAAACTTGTGCAAAATTACGGAAGAACCATGCTCAGAACTTCTCTAGAAAATCGCTGTTTCTCTCCAGCTCCTTATAGGAAAGGCCAGCTGGGCTGTTAGAGAAATAACCTTACATGTAGTAGGCTCTGACTTTGGTGGGGTTTTTTTTTTTTGGTGCTCAGGCCTTGTGAATGATTTAATACGGGGTTATTTTTGTGTTTCTTTTCTATTTTTATTTAATTTTTTAGAAGATTTTTCTCCATCTCAGCCTCAGAGGTATTTTAATAGCCCCAAACGGGTGTTTCCCATCAGCGGTTTGGTGGTGGCAGGCACATATTTAGCAGACATCCTGAGCAGAGGGTCGCTGCAGATGTGGAGACCTGACTTGTGCTCAGGATGGGGGTGTCTGTGGTGTCCCAGGTGCAAAAGACTGGGACACGGAGGTGACACCTACACCTGCATGGAGCTGGCAGAGCCTGCAGGCATGGGTGCTCCCTGGGCTTTGAGGTTCAGACCATGGGTATCTCCAGTCTCCAAGAGGTTTCTTGCTGGAGGGTTGATGCTCTGGGAGTGGCAAATAGCAGCTCTGCTTGTCCACCTCATCCCATTCTGGAAAATATTTGGGTTTGGTGTGGTGTCCCCTGGTTGTTAATCTGATGCTCAGCCGTGCGAGTTGGGGTCGGGGATGTTCAGGGTCTTGATGCATCTGGCCGATGGTGGCTTCTGCTCTTGGAAGGGTTTGTGCTAGTTTGCCCGTGTCCTTATTTCCCAGCTCTGACTGTGGTTTTCCACTTCTCCTGGTCCCGATCGCCCCGGTTCCCATCCCTCCCCATCTGTCCCCTGCGCAGACACCCCTTCCCTCGCGTGTTCAGCTCCTGCAGCAAGAGGCAGCTGGAGAACTACTTCCAGAAGGGAGGTGGCATGTGTCTCTTCAACCTGCCCGACACCAAGGACCTGGTGGTGGGACGGAAATGTGGCAATGGCTTTTTGGAGGAAGGAGAAGACTGTGACTGCGGGGAGGTGGAGGTACGGTGCTGGGTTCTGCATCGCTTTCCTGCAGAGGCTTCTGCAGCTCAGCTCAGCTGCTGGGTGGCAGGACGTGGACCACGTGGAGAGGGGTATTTCCAAAGGAAAGAGGTTTGCTGGTCACCACAGGGACTCCATCTCAAGGACTTTTCCCAGTCCCACCTTCCTAAATCCATTTAACCTGTGTCTGGCTTTCTTCTTGACTTTGCCCCAGAGTGCTCAGGTCTTCCTCATCCCCCCTGTACCTCAGTTTCCCCGTCGTCAAAGTGAGAAGAGCAATGCTGTGATGGGTGGAGAAGGGGCTGGGGGCAGCAAAGGGGAAGGGATGGACTCACTGACCGTGGTGGTGTCTTCTTCTCCCCACGCAGGAGTGCACCAACCCGTGCTGCAACGCACACAACTGCACGCTGAAGGCGGGGGCCCAGTGTGCCCACGGCGACTGCTGCCAGAACTGCAAGGTAAGCCCCCCGCTGTGCCCCCCACTGCGCCCACCCG